CTGAAAGATAAACACAAAAAGGATTAAAAGCACAAGTTTAACTCAAAAACATAACCAAATCATAAGCTAGAAGTGTACAAAATGATATACAATTATGAACCGATCACTAATACAGTTTCCTCGATCTGCCTACAATATCTAAGGGGGGGAATTCCCAATTCGGCAATTTATTCATACGCCTAAGTCTACAACAAATAGATTATCAAAGTCAGTACTTAGTTACAAACTTAAATTTTAGAAACACTAATATTAAACTAAATCATACCTGGAAAGCATAGCTGAATCCCTTTATATTCCATGCAGGTCTGTTAATTCTTTCAGGCTTTTTGATCGGTTCATAATTGTATATTATTTCTTACCCTTCTAGCTTATGATTTGGTTATGTTTTTTTGAGTTAAACTTGTGCTTTTAATCCTTTTTGTGTTTATCTTTCAGCTTTAGGTAACAATGATGGCTTTGGATAGGAAATGATGCAATCCATGCATGTTAAAGCCTGATTTGGATAAAGGGAAGAAGTGCTTAAAGACAAACTCATTTTGGCTACAGCCCCCTGCCATTCCAGTTCCGTAGGTCATATTGCAAGCTTTGTTTCAACCACCTACATAGCTCTAATGAGGCCACATTCTTCATGAAAGTTGTTCCAATTGGTGTGTACTATAACATATCCAAAATTCAGCCCCATTGGAAACATATGGAGTCTGTTACCTAGCAAACACAGAGTCATGCTCAGGATGGATTTTATCAGCGCGCAATATGAGTTAGCAATTTGTTTTGGCCTTAACTTCCTTCTCCGAGCTTGGATTGGGCCAATACTTGTGTGGTTGGATCATACACATTCTTAACTTCACAATGGACATCTTAAAGTCTTCATTTGATTCAGCCTAGCCCAATTCGTAAGCCCAAGAAGTTGCTGGTCATTCTGACATGAGGATGAGCTGGTTGGAAGCTTGGTCATGGTGAGCTAGGCATGAGCTATTGAGCTTGTTGGAAGCTTGGTCATGGTGACATGAAGATGAGCTAGGGCTGCTGTTGGGATTTATTGGTGAAGTGCATCAACCAATTCATCTTTTATAATGCAAGTGTTGTATGGATTAGCCATATTGAATTCAGATTTATCACTCTCCTCTCCCTATAAATACCACATCCATTCCACATTCAAGACACAACAAATCCTAGGATTCACAACCCCACAATTCACTCCAACCATTCTCAAACACTCTCACAATCCCAAACACTCCAACAATCACCAAAACAGCTCCAGCTTTCTTCTCTTCCATTTCCCTACGAATTTCATCTTCTTTAGCCATCACCACTCACTCAAACTCATCCCAGATCACCTCCATATCCTTCATACATCTTTCTAGAAGTGGGGAAGCTCTTGGAGAAGCATTAGAAGTGGGGAAGCACTTGGAGAAGCCTTGGACACCACAAGAACTTCAGAAGAAGGGTTTTTCTACTCTTATTGCATTCATTATGTTTTCTCATTTCTGTTCACGTCTCTTTTCCATTATGAGTAGCTAAATCCATATCTAGGGCTTCGATGTAACCTAACATGAATATTGTGGGTTTATAAGTTTGGAGTTTCAAGTTTGATTCATGATTCATGTTCTTATTCATTATGCTTATAAGTTAATATGCTAGTTTGAATGATTGATCACCATTTAGGCTTGCATGTTAGCTATCTTGGTTTGAATTAAGAGTATACACCATGCTTTAATTCGAATTGAACTATGAATAGGAAGAGTATGTATGGACATTCGACAACAGGGATTAGATACATGCTTGGTTGTTTAAATTGTTCTTCTATGCTTAATGGGTTCCTAATGCTTAATTTTAGGTTAGACAACAGATGATCAAATTAGGGAATTAGGAACACAAGGTTAGGACCAAACACCATGGCCTAATCATACTTTAGCTAGAATCAATCTTTGAATCTGAATTAGACTTGTTACTTGAATCTTTATAACCCAGAATTGAATTGTTATGGTGATTCGAATGCCCTAGTCTCAAAATCTGTTTTCCAACTCTTAAAACCACTCTTTGTTACATTTGTTTACTTGTTTTTGTTTTCAATTTCATTTCGCTTCTCTTGTTCAACAATCACAACCACTCTTGTTTTAAATTCTGTTTTAGACATAACCTCCTACTTTCTTGAATTTGGTAATCTAAGTACATAACTAGTTTTAACTTCTCAGTCTTCGTGGGTACGACCTCGTACTTGTCTTGCTATACTACTAATTGCCCCGTACAATTGCGAGTTAACATAATATTAACAACACTAACTCAGAAAAAAGGGGCAACGAAGGCTTGATCCACCACTCTATGGCGGTCCGAGACAAGTCTGAACGAGCCTTCTGACGGAAAAAGACCCCAACACTTTTCTTTTCTTCTTCCTCTATATTTTCTTTTCTTAGTTTACTGGGTTGGAGAAGATGGGTGTTGTTCATGTTGGTGGGTTTATTGGTTGTCAAGAGAGAGAGCTAGAGTTGTTGATGTGATGCATTCTCGTGTCTTCGGAAAACACTGAAAATGAAATTACTGAAAACAGCTTTTTTTCATTTTCAACTTTTGTTCACAAAGTTAGATTTGTTTTCAGAAAACGTTTTGTGAGGGAAAATGAAAACAATGCACCGAACGTGTATTTGTGAAAAACAGGAAACAAAAACAGAAAACAGGCCCTAAAAACATTACCGAACGGGCCCTAAATTTTCCTCGTTTCTTGTTGAAAAGAAAAAAGAAAAAAAAAAAATCCACAACTAGAAGCTTCTCCACCGACCCTTCTTCCCATGTACTAACAACAAGCAGCGATGCCTTCGATCCAAAAAAAAAGATAAGGGATGCCAGGTCAGCATCTCAGATAAGTATTCCAACCAAAACCAATCAAATAATGACATCTGTATCTCCATTGTCTTTTGGGTTTAATTTCTCTTTGAATTAACTGCAGAGTTTCATGAGCATGTCCTCCTTTTGAAATTGTGTATTATTCAAAATTGGAATTTGTTGGTCATACTTGATATCAGCTAAAAAAATTTCCAACATCTTGTACCAGTTTTTTCCAGTGCAGGTCATAATTGACAAACGCATTAGCGTGTGGTAATGAGCTAATTATATTGATAAGGTGAAAGAACGAAGTACATAACATGTGTTGATGCCAAATATTTGATCAACGAGTCTAAAACCATAAAGTCACAAAAACACACAAACAAAAAAAAAAACACTGACAATATAACGTTGTTCACTCAAATTTGTGTTTCGATGAGGGTCAGTAGTGTAGGTTTCACCATACTATTTATTTTGTTAAAGAATATTCTTATATTCTAACAACAAAATTGGCTCAAATTGATATGTTCCTCTCTTTTTTTTGTTTCTCTTTTCCTTTTCATTTGATGCTTTGTTGTGCTATTGCTAAGTTTATCCTACAGCTAGCCTAGCAACTTCTCCACTTTCATTTTATTTATTAGTGACCAGGGATGCTTAGCAAGTTTCTTCACCTGCCCTTCTTCCCATGTACTAACCAGGGATACCAGGTCAGAATCTTAGATAAGAATCCCAACCCAATCAAACTATGACATCTGTAAAATATTCAAAATTGGGAATTTGCATTGTGATAGTTGAGTGGAGGACAGGCTTGAGTGGAAGAATTGATTAAGGCTTGACTGGAAGACAGACTTTAGTGGAGGAAAGTAATTAATCGAAGGTGGAATCTCACAAGACATAGCCCATCAGTTGAATATCTCGCTCTCCTTAAAGATATCGAAGCAAACTGCGATTTGCAATTTGTGTGATTCAAGCAAGGATGTAAAATTTACTGTAAGGTGTTTGTAACTCAAGTAATTAAGAGCATTTACTCCTGTACTCGAGGTTCTGGATTCGATTTCTCCCTACCCTCAATATTGCTTGTATAAAAATAAAAATAAAAATAAAAATCTTCTGAGCAATGATCCATTTCTCACCAAGAAAAGAAGGCAATCAAGAAAAAAAGACTTCTCATGCACTACTTTGTCTGTTGCTAGCTCATACCCTCCCAGTTTGGTAAGTGCTACTGTTGAAGCACGTCGTGGTCCCAGAATTATTTCAAATGGTTCCATCAAAACCTCATAGACACTTCACTTTACAGGCTTGGAAGATAAGAATCACAACATCATCGTCGAACAAGAAACAACAAGAAACATGGGAGAAAGGGAGGAAACAGTCACTGATAATATTCCACTCGGAATGCCCAAGATTCACAGATTTGACAAATGCTATCAGTTTTAGAAATTGAAATGCTCTTAATTACTTGAATATTTGATACCATTATTTGTTGTGTGATTCAAGCAAGGACAATTCCCAAGTTTGAGAAAGTTCATAATCTTTGTCCAACCGAAAAATGAGAAAAGTTGTCTTGTACCATTTCTGCCAGTGTGGGTCCCACCCACCCCATACGAGTAAATTGAAGAAGTCCAACAACAATTTCTCAAAAGCTTTTGCGTCCAACTTTGCCGACCCCATCCCCCATGTGAGGCCACAGAAAAGTTTTCAGCCACAAACAAAGAAGGATCCTAGAAAGAGAGAGGGTTTTCCAAGCTGAAGATTACAAGTTCATGTTATTTGCAGTCTTAAAAAGCTTACATACTTGTTTACAAGCCTGTATTTCCAAGTTGTGCTAGCCTAGCTACTTGCGAATCTTGAAATATTTTACTTCATCTAAATCCCTTGCAGTCTGCAGAGAAGAGAAAAGACATGGCTTTGATCGGAGAGGCTCTTATCTCTGCTTCCGTCCAGGTGTTGTGCAACAGAATTACTTCACCCGAGTTCGTTGACTTATTTCGACACAAGAAACTCGATGAGCCACTCCTCATGAAGCTGAAGACGACACTGTTGACCTTATATGCAGTTCTCGATGACGCAGAGGAGAAGCAAATTAAGAAACCTGCTGTAAGGGATTGGCTCGATGAGCTCAAACATGCTGTCTTTGATGCAGAGGACTTACTGGATGAGATCGACACGGAAGCTTTACGATGCAAGTTCGAAGGTGAAGATCAAACTGGAAAATTTACCAATAAGGTGCGGAACCTGCTCTTTTCTTCTCGTAATCATTTTTATCAGAGCATGAATGATAAGATACAAGAGCTACAAGCAAGGTTAGAAAACTTCGTACAACTGAAAAGTGCTCTTGGTCTGAGAGAAGATGCTGGGCGGAAGGTTTCACGAAGAACTCCAACAACTTCCTTGGTTCATGAACCTTGTGTCTTTGGTAGAGATGAAGTCAAAGAAAATTTCTCAAAAGTGTTGCTATCTGATGATGCAAGCAAGGATGATGTGTCTGTCCTTACCATTGTTGGAATGGGCGGGGTTGGCAAGACAACCCTCGCCCGAATGCTTTACAATGACGATAAGGTGAAAGGTCATTTTACATTTCACGCTTGGGCTTGTATTTCAGAAGATTATGATGCTATTAGGATAACTAAAACTCTTCTTGAGTCAGTCACTTCAAAGCCTTGTAATACGACAGATTTGAATTTGCTTCAAGTTGAACTAAGAGAACAACTGAAGGGAAGGAAATTTTTATTTGTATTGGATGACCTATGGAATGAGGATTATACTGATTTGAAGTTCCTCCAAACTCCTTTTACGTCAGGAGCAAGGGGAAGTAAAGTCATCATAACAACACGGAACAAAAATATAGCATCTGTCATGCAAAATGTTCCTATTCAATACTTGGAACCACTGTCACATGAGGACTGTGGAATAGAATACTAAATGATAGTTTTTGGGACCAACCCTATGATACAACTAACATTCTTCCAGCTCTAGGGTTGAGTTACCATTATCTTCCTGCTCAGTTGAAACGATGTTTTACTTATTGTTCAATTTTTCCAAAGGATTATGAGTTTGAAAAGGAAGATATAGTTCAATTATGGATTGCAGAAGGTATAATTCCAAAAGCTGAGAATGGAAAAAGGATGGAAACATTGGCTAGAAGATACTTTGATGAGCTATTCTCACGATCGTTGTTTCAAAAGTCAAGGAAATTCAGCTTCATTATGCATGATCTCATTAATGAATTGGCTATGTTCATGTCTCGGGGGTTTTGCCTTAGGCTTGAAGGTGGGGTATCCCGTGAAGTTAAAAGAGCTCGTCATTTGTCATATGCTAGGGGAAAATTTGATGCTACTCCAAGATTTGAACCATTATATGAGGCTAGATTTTTGCGGACCTTCCTACCTACCTCTTTAAATCCATATAGACAAGAAAGATTTTTTGTAAGTAAAAAAGTTCTACAAGATTTGTTGCCATCACTAAGATGTTTACGGGTGTTATCATTGTCACGTTATCAAAATGTCACTGCGTTACCTGATTCTATTGCAAACCTCATTCACTTGCGCTACTTGGATCTTTCCCATACTGTAATTGTAAGGTTGCCTAGGGTACTTTGCAATCTCTACAACTTGCGGACATTACTATTGTCAAATTGTTCCTCTCTCCTTGAATTGCCTGCAGACATCAGAAAATTGATTAATTTGCAAAAATTGATGTTGGGAGGTTGTAGATCTCTTATTAAATTGCCTGCATGCATGAAGGAGTTGATTAATTTGCATCATCTTGATGTCAGTGGAACTAAAATTGAAGAGATGCCGGTGCAAATGGGTAGACTGAAAAGTTTGAGAACATTGACTGCGTTTGTTGTGGGCAAATCTACTGGGTCAGGCATAAGAGAACTGAGGGAGTTCCCGCAACTTCGAGGAAAACTATCAATTTTGAAGCTACAAAATGTAGTTGATGCGAGGGATGCACTGCACGCCAATATGAAGCACAAGAAAGATCTCAAGGAGTTAGAGCTTTCATGGGGTGTGGAGGATGCTGATGATTCCCAAAAGGAGAAAGATGTACTCGACAAGCTCCAGCCTTGCGTGAATTTGGAGAAATTGACCATCAGATTCTATGGTGGAACCAATTTTCCGAATTGGTTAGGAGACTCGTCTTTTTGTAACATACTAGTCATGCATCTCAGTGACTGTAGTTATTGTTGGTCGCTCCCACCAGTTGGGCGGCTACCGGCACTCAAAGAACTCTGTATAGAAAGAATGAAGTTTGTGAAGATGATTGGCGTCGAATTCTATGACAGAAATGGAGCTTATCTAACTCAGCCATTTCAATCTCTGGAGAAGCTGGAGTTTAGAGAGATGCTAGAGTGGGAGGAATGGGTGCCAAGTGGAAGTGCAAGTGGGGGTGAATATGGTCCAGACTTTCCTCGTCTCCAGGAGCTGATTCTAATTAAGTGTCCGAAGCTGAGAGGAAGTTTGCCTTGTGAGTTGCCTTGCTTGAAGAAGCTTACGGTGTCTGGGTGTGTAGTTTTACATGATGGAAGGGCCACTACCACAACTACCAATAGTCTTAACTATAAATCTCTTGAAGAATTGAAAATGGATGGATGCAAAACAGTTCTGTTATCATTATTAGAGACAAAGCTCCTGTCCCAATTAGAGATTCGAAATGTTGTTGACGTACAGCGCTTGCCCAACTGCAATCGTCTTCAAACTTTGACTCTTTGGAATTGTCCAACGTTGTCGTCGTTCCCTAAAGATGGCCTACCCACTACGTTGTCATGGCTTTCTATACACAATTGTAGGAGATTAGAATTCCTACCCCATGAGATATTGGCCAAATTGACATCGCTTGACTATTTGTGGATACAAAATAGCTGTGATTCAATGAGGTCCTTCCCGTTGGGAATTTTTCCCAAATTGATGTGCCTTTACATTCATGAGTGTGAGAATCTGGAATCCCTTTCCTTGATTGAAGAAGAAGGAGCTGTTGAGAATCTCAGCCATCTCAAATACTTGGAAGTCTATAAATGTCCAAAAATGGTGTGTTTTCACGAGGGAGAAATGCCCACTCCCAACCTGATTCACTTTCTAGTCGACGAATGCGAGAATTTGAAGTCATTGCCCAAACGCCTTCACACCCTCACAGCCCTTCGATCTTTGTCGATAGGGTATCTTCCGAATCTGGAGTCACTTGCAGAAGATGGGGGTTTGCCTCCCAACCTCCGAGATTTTAGCATTAATAATTGTGAGAGACTGAGGGCTTCATCAGTGGGAGAGTACTGGGGTTTGCAAGCACTTGTCTCCCTTGAACAATTTTTTATCAGTCGAAGTGACCATGTCTTGGAGACGTTGCTCAAGGAACAGCTGCTCCCTACCACTCTTCACACTCTCCGCATCGTTTCTCTATCAACTCTGAAATCTTTGGACGGAAAGGGTCTTCGACACCTCACTTCTCTTCAAGAGCTATATATTATGTTCTGTCCCAGTCTCCAATGCCTGCCAGGAGAGGAACTTCAACGCCTCACTTCTCTTCAACATCTATCCATTATTGGCTGTCCCAGTCTCCAATGCCTGCCAGAAGAGGGTTTGCCGCCATCTCTTTCTCATCTGTTTATCCTCTTTTGTCCTGCCCTGGAGAAAAGGTATAAGAATAAGACGGGACAAGATTGGGCCAAGATATCTCACATTCCTTGCATCGAGATAGGCTACGAAGTGATCATATAATATGAGCTAGTCAGGTATGTGCCTTCTCTTACCGTAAAAAACTGCTTCTCTTGTTCTAATTGAATGCAAAAACCAAAACACATATTCTCTTTCTCTTCCAAAAACCCAAATACATGTTGGACATTGCCCAAATTCAATCTCCAAATTTCTAATAATTTCACGCATCTGATCAAAATCATAGCTTTTTGTCAATTGCATTGTCGCTGCTTTTTACTGGTCTCATGCTATTTTCAGATAAAAATAATTTTTAATAATTATTTTCAGATCAAAATCATACATGTTGGATAAAAATTCATCTCATTTCTAATAATTTCACGCTTTTTGTTATTTTCAGATAAAAATAATTTTTCCAGAAAAAAAACAATCAATCTGATTTCTAATAACGTGTTGCTCAGGAAATTATATCCTATTTGGAGTATCAAATGCTGAATAATTAGCAGTCTTTTTGCAGGACGACATACCTTCTCTTGGCCCTTGGGTAGCTTTTCATTTGGAAAGTTTCTTTGTGTGGAATTTCCAGAGGAGGGTTACTATTGTATATAGCTTTTTGTTTTTCTATAAAACAATTATCAGAGCATTTTTAGGTACTTTTATATGAAAAAAATGTATTTGAGTCTCATTTGAGCTAGTTTAAATCGAATTTAATGCCTATGGATAGGTTCATGCCCCCGCATTTCACACAGCAACTCTGTGTTATTCCACTCTGTTTAGATTTCACTTATGTTGTGATTCGACTGGTGCTGTATTTTAGATTTCGTTCATGTAATGTTAGGATGTTTAATCTCTGATCTGTGGTGGTAGTTGAGTAGTCTTGCTAATCCAGTAGATAACTTATCCCCTGTTTTGTATTGTTTTTATTTCTCTTGTAATGAAAGCACGTTTCTTATCAAAAAAAGTTTTCATCGATACTCATTGCTTATTTGGAACTGCAGAAGCCTACTTTTGTCACAGTCAGTAGATGCCAGAATGAAGTCATTGCCTAAACACATTGGCACCCTCACAGCCTTCGACATTTGGGGATATATGATCTTCAAAATCTTGTGAAATTTGCCTCCCAACCTGCAATATATTCATATTTTGAATTGTGACAGACTGTGCCCTACGGTGGGAGATTACTGGGGTTTGCAAGTACTTGGTGGCAATATCTTGTAGACGTTTCTCAAGGAACAGCTGCTCAATACCACTCTTTGCACTCTATATATTACGGCCTGTTAGTCTATAATTCCTGCCAGGAGAGGAACTTGAACGCCTCTCTTCGCTGCAAAGGCTACATATTTGTGGGTGTGACAGTATCCAATTCCTGCCAGAAGAGCGTTTGCCGACATCTCTTTCTTATCTGTGCATCGACCATTATTTTGCCCTGTAGAAAAGGTATCTCACATTCCTTGCATCAAGATAGGCGAAGAAGTGATCATAAGATATGAGCTCTCTCTCCCTCTCGCTCACATACAAAGTACTTAACACAAACACTCAATCTGATTTCTATTATTATTTATTTTGCTCAGTAAATTCTGGTTAAATTTGCTTTATTTCTGATTCTGCTTGTTCTGCTGATCACAACTTATATCCTATTTAAATCTCAAATGCTGAATAATTAGCATTCTTTTTGCAGGACAACATATCTTCTCTTGGAGAGCTATTCATTTACAAGGTTTCTTTATGTGTCATTTCCAGAGTAGGGTTTACTTTTTAATATAGCTCTATGTTTTTCTACGGAACAATTGTCACAACGTGGAGAAATAGAAAGGTTCACCTGGAATATCTCAACTGACATATTCCCAAATACAGGCATTGAATGCACAACATTTTGAGGTACTATTTTTGTAATAAAAATGTACTTGAGTCTCATTTGAGCTAGTTTAAATTGTATTCAATGTCTATGGATAACCTGTGAGCTTAAGTTGTAAGATAAAACTCACAGTATATTATTAGGGTTTAGAGTTCAACTGGTGAGCTTAAGTTGTACTTTCCTAAGTACTGCACGTATATTATAAGACAGGAGATGAATGCTTTTATATGTTAATGTCGCAGTCAGTCTTCAACCACACTCTGTTTTTAAAATTCATTTATGTTACTAGTGGAGTGCTGCTGTATTTTATATTTCGTTCCTGTAATGTTAGGATGTTTAGCTTGAGTAGTCTAGCTTGTCCAGTAGATAACTTGTCCCTTGTTTTGTAATGTTTTTGTTTCCTCTAATGAAAGCAGGTTTTGCTTATCTTGAACTGCAGAAGCCTACTTTTTGACATAGGTGGCATGGCACAAACTCGCATCCGCATTTCCTTCCCTGTTGGCATGCTGTCTCATCTTTTCTATTCTGTTACCAGCTTGAAGCTTGTGTAGATATGTTATGCTCTTGTAATTCTGATCACAAACATCGCTTGACAAATGGAAAGTCACAATTAGATCTTTTGGTGATCTGGAGGTTTACTTTCTAACACTTGTTTTCGTTTCATTCTTTTGCCTCATCATAACTGTTTAATAACAGCGACGGTTTGGGGTGGGGNGGGGGGAGAGGGGGGACAACAATACAGAATTTAAAATTTCTGATAATCAACAGTAGTTTGCATATATCAGCTGGGACCTGTCTGATTGTATTATGTAATGAATTATTTCTCTTATTGTTTTTGTACTGTTAAAAGGAGTCAGCCACACAAAATAAAAAAGGAGGCCTCTTACTTCATAATTTTTTTCAAAAGTGATCATTCATCCGTTTCTTTTTCAACAATGGAGGAATTTATACTAATCGTCTGGTCCATCGGCTGCTTCATTCCATAGTAGCTTCATCTCCTGTCCTTTGCTTTATTTCTGTTGATGACTGTTTTGTCTGGGTTATTTATTTTCATTTCCTGTCCATTGCTTCATTTCTGTTTGGATTCGTAATTAAATCTGTCCTGAACTTGAACAAGGGTTAGGTTAGCTGTATAATTTGCGGTTTCATATTCACAACTGTCTACATTGATTAAAACCAGCATTATTCTAAGGTTCATTTAGAATGTATTATCACCAAAATTATAAAGTATACTCCTATTACAATTAATTTGTTGATTCTATTTTGGAATTGTAGGAACAGACCAAACATTTTCATACGTGGCATCGCTCAACTCATCATCATTTGGGACAGAAAATCAGCCTTCAGATATCTCATAAGGATTTGTAAACATTTTTCTGTTTGAAATTTTCTACTGGAGGCTAGAAATGCTTCTTATAAGTGGCTGTGTTGCAATTATTTTGTAGGATCAAAGACTCTGCAAAGAGGTAAGAAAGTCATCATCGAGTAACTTTGCTTTTCGAACTTTTTATTTTTATTTTTAAATATCAGTAATAACTGGGAAAGCTTGCATCTCTTTAAATTGCTCATTCTTACATCTTTTATAGTTTGTCGATCTTGGGCAAGTGGAGAGAGAGGCGTCAAGTGATACACAGCAACCATTTTCTGTGAGCTGATTTGATAAAGAGAAATGGTATGCTTTCTTGTCCTAAGCGGTGTGTTCTGCAATTATTTGAAACAAAGGGTGCCGCACTTCAAGTTACTTCAGCCGAGTTCATCAACTTATTTCAGCAGAAGAAACTCGACGAACCACTCCTCATGAACCTGAAGACGACACTGTTGATTTTGTTTGCGGTGCTCAATGATGCAGAGGAGAAGCAAATTGGGAACCCTGCTGTGAGAGAGTGGCTTAACAAGCTCAAGCATGCTGTCTTTGATGCAGAAGACTTACTGGATGAGATTGACACTGAAGCTTTGCGATGCAAACTGGAAGGTGAGGATCAAACCCACAAATTAACCAACAAGGATCTTTTTGATTGTATTATGTAATTAATTATTCTCTTATTGTTTTTGTACTGTTAAAGGAGTCAGCCACACAGAATAAGAAACTACGGATGGGAGCCAACTTATTTCATACTATTTTAAAATCCCTTTCTTTCTCAACAATGGAGGAATTTATACTAATTGCGTAGCTTTATGTATATGGTTGCAGCTGGTTAAGGAGGTAAAATTCAGCTGGTTTAACCCTGCGTCCTGTAATGCATTGTTGTGTGTGAAGCTTAAACTTTTGGGGCTATATGGTTTTGGGGAGATGTGATGTAATGACAATTTACTTCGTTGTTTTGTTGGATAGGGATAGAAGGGTCTTTGATGATTTGAAAGGAGAGGGGTGTGGCGGAGAGGGTTCATAGATTAATTTGTCAGCAAGATGTAAAATAATTAACTTTTTGGTTGCTTATTCATTTAAAATCCTATTAACATCAACTTCCAATTTGGATTGGTAGGATCAGACTAAGCAGGTTCATACATTGCTTGCGTCACGTCATCAGCATTTCAGACTGAAAATGGACCTTCAATTGTCTTATGAGCCAATGGATTTTTTGAGATATCTTAAGCACAGCAGAAAATTAACGGATTGATCTACACAAATAGTCTTAAACATGGTTCTGTTGGATGCTGGAAGTGCCTCTTATCGTAAGTCATCAAGTATCATCTATGTGTTATTACTGTTTTGTCTGTTGATCCACTGGTTATTATTGTCATGTCACTGGTTTTTTATTGTTTTGAACACTCAATTGAGATAGACTGTTTTTTTCCGGGTAATTTATTTTCATTTATTGTCCTTTGCTTCATTTCTGTTGGATGTTTAATTAGATCTTTCCTGGACTTGAACACCTTTTTCTAAGGTTCATTTAGACTCCTATTACGATTAATTTGTCGTTTCTAATTTGGACTTGTAGGAACAGACCAGATATGTACACACATGGCATTGCTCAAGTCATCATCATTTCAGACAGAAAATCAGCCTTCAAGTGTCTGCTGAGTCAATGAACCTTTCTAGATATATCAAGTGCAATGGACTTTCATGAGTTACATAGAGATTTGTAAACATTTTGAAGATTGCAACACCTGCAAGTGAGATAGGTGGTGACGAAATCAGAGCTGATCTTGAAGCCTCTGATGCCCCTGTTGTTGCAAGTTGCACCTGAGAACATGTTTTTTTTGGGGTAAAAAACTGGCAACATGTTCGGAGCTGGCAATTGAATCCCTGATGAACTTGAGAAGCAGAGCTTCAGTAAGGAAATTGGTCGTGGTCGCGACAGGGATGATTGATGGTGAAATGGGTGCTATTTCTTATTGCAGCCTGTTCACAAAGTTCTTGTTGGAAAATGCAAGAGATGGAGTATTTTGATTGGGAGGAGAGATAATGACCTGTCTTGACAATTCTAGAACAGCCCATCTGAGTTCTTTTGTTAGGCTGCATCATTTAATCCCAGCAAAAATCCAGTTTCTGCTAAACAATCACTTATGGCAAGGCCAACTCTGTAAATGGAATTTGTACACATTTTTTCTTTTTGAGGAATTTAACTTTGTCATCAAACAGTATTCTAATGCATTAATGGTAGCACTACACACTTTTGTTGTAACAAATTACAATGAAGAATTTGGATTGAGTTTCTTGTATGCATTGTTTGGATTAAAAATATCAGTTTCTTGTGTTAATAACATTACACTTTTATGGAATGGTTTATCTTATTTTTTAGTGGCGAAAAAAGGAAAATTGTAGTCTTCAAAACGAATCTTAAATCCAGTTTTCTCTTCTTGGTCGTCACTCTTGGAAATTGCTAACCGTATATAGCTTGGAGTAAACACTGCACAAAACTGCATACCATCACAAATCAGAAGCATCTTAAAGCATGCTTTCATAAAATATAAAGCATGCACATGATTAACTTAGGCAGAACCTTACTTCTAATCAATGGCAACCTTCTTCAAGGAAGAAGAACAAATGAATGACCCCAAATCTAAATCTGAGGGAGGCAACAGACATGTACCATTCTATTTTTGCAGAAACGACTTGACCTTCCCCAACCATTTGATAAGTTCTATTCTATCCTTGTTCGTCATATATTGATGCAAGAAACAGAATGTCGTCATTCACAACCCTTAGTCAATAAACCTCTTTTGAATCGTTCTCTTTGTGCATTTAAGAGTACACATATGTCATAGGTAATTCGAAAGTTTGTTGCTGAAATTTCTGAGAATTTGAAACTAGATAAGCACACCTTACACAAAGTTCATATATTTTCTTCCAGCAAGTCTGTCTATTTTCTACCAGCATTTTATGTTACTTTAGGTGCTGATTTGATTTAATCACAAGTTTCGCTGGTGCATTTACTAGGCTAGCATTCAATACTTTCGATCACAGAACTTCTTTGGTTGATATTATCTTTGTTAACTTTACATTATCTTAAATATCTAAGAAAGTGTATGTTTAACTATAACGTTAGAGAGGGAACTTAACAGGTTCATAATCTCATCATTATATATATAGTATTAAAAATTAGAGATTATTTCAGGCATCATCTATTATCTGCTTACTTTTAGTTTTATGTGCATTAATTAACTCTTTAATTCATATGTTTACATCTTAGCAAATTCATGTGATTAGTGCGGCTCATACCACAAAAACAATTTTAGGCTCATCAAGTGCTAAGGAATGTAGTGACAAGTTCTCTACATAGTTTGAGACCTACACTTACTAGATATTAGATCATTTGGATCATTTCCATATGTTTATATGTTTTTAATAATATCATTTGCCTATGTAGTTGACATGTTATAACATTTTTGTAGCGTTGAATATATATATATATATATATATATATATAATAATTTTATTTTAGTGGATGTGAGATTTCAGTTTGTTGCTTTATATAATTATTTAGCAATTTAATTATTTCTTTGCAACTTAATTTTTTTTGTCAGTCATACTATTGTTGACGGCTAAAAACCATCAAGAAACAACTCTTAAGTTAAAAAAGAAAAAGAAAAAAAAGAATTGTTGATTCTTAAAAAACGTCAAGAAAAGATAGTTTCTTGACGGTTTTGTGAACGTTTGATAACCGTCATGAAACAATGCATTTTGATGGACGTCAAGAAAGGGGGTATCCCTTTCCTAACCGTGGCATCCATGACGCTTTCTGAGCCGTCAATTAAGGGCTATCATGATGCTTTTTAGTCGTCAGCAAAATGTATTCTTGTACTGTATTCACTCAAAATCGTGTTTCATTTAGGGTCAATAGTGTGGTTGAATGCCATTTGTTTTGTTAAAGAATATTATACATTAGGGATTTTTGTAGAAATGTCATATGAACTTATACCTTAGTTTCAATTTGTCACCTTAAAGAAAATTTTAAGAGAAATGTCACCTTAATTTTTCAAAATCTATGATTTGTCATTTGACTTTAAGATCATCTAATTTTCCATCCATTTTTAAGGGTATTTTACTCTTTTCATTTTCAAGGAAAAGAAAGAGAGAAAAAAAGAGACCTTTCTCCCTTACTTTCTCCCCCAACCCAACCCCATCGGCCTAATTTTCCACTATGTTTATGTTTAAGGATCTAAAGTTTGCTTGGTCACCATCTGTTACGTAGGCTACCGAGTTGTTGGTTTGGGTGGGTTGAGGGAATTTGTGCGTGGAGGGTAGGTGTTCCTGCTGTGCAAAAATATTCCAAGACCTTGTCGTTGATGGACTATGCGACGGCACACACACAAACTCCTTGAGAATAAAACATACACACCACGAAGAGAGTAAAACAAACACACAAGGACACAAAGATTTATAGAGGTTTGGCCTTCTGTCTACGTCTTCTTGGTGATTCACCCGAGAAATTCACTAGTATGTAAGAACAACTTTGGTTACAGCTGAACCCCCTTAGCTCTCACAAGAACCTTAGATCTCTTTTCTCTCACCCTTGCTCATACCCTTTGATGCCCTCGTAAACACTCAAGAATTCACCCTTGAATTCTGTCTTGTGTTACATCTTCTCTTTTCCCCTTTGTTAACCTAACCCTAAAAGTCCTATTTATAATGCATAGGACTTTAGTTACAAGTTAACTAGGAATAGGAAACGTAAAAGACCCCAAAACTGGGAGAAAATCTGCCCATATCTCGTCAGGAAATCGCACAGTATGTGTGATCCGCTCGAGCGCCTGCAAAATCATCCATCTGTCGCTCGAGCGCCAGTGCTTCTTCTTCTCCAGCTGCTGCATCTTCTTGTAGCCCTTTTGGTTCCTTCTTTCCTCCCGCATCATGGTGAGCGAAAACTTCAACAGTTCCATGGTAGAGAGCGAAGGAGGAAGGGGGAACGGATTTCAAAGTGGGCTAGGTTGGTTGTAGCTGTTGGTGACACTCATGGGATGGGGGAATGGGAGATTTTTTTTTTTTCTTTTCAATTTTAATTGTTTAAAAGATATACAATTTTTTATATAATAATTTTTCCATTTATAAAATACCCTTGAAAATAGAAAGATTAAAATGCCCTTAAAAATGGATGGAAAATTGGATGGTGTTAAAGTCAGATGGCAAATCATGGATTTTGAAAAATTAAGGTGACATTTCTCTTAAATTTTTCTTAAAAGTGACAAATTGAAACTGAGATATAAGT